CCGTCGCCTCGCACCACGAACCCAGCGCCTTCTTCTGCGTGTGTGGCCAGCGAAAACGGCAGATCATTGCAGCCGCCGCTACACAGAAACATCAACAGCAGAAGGGAGAAGGGGAGGCACGTGAATGGGCATTAAAGTGAGGACACAGTGGAATGGGGAGGGATAAAGAAAGACAAGAAGCCTCACGTTTCCGTATATACGCACTTTCACACCACAGCCTTGAACAACACCGTCCAACGATTCCCGCTGGGGAATTCGAGTCCCAGAACAATAGCAAAAAAAAAAAACCAATAGAACGGAAAACCCTAAAGATCAAAAGCTGCTGAGGTAGTGTTCAACTGGATTGCCCTCGCTTTCTTTCCATTATTCCATTCGTTCTTTTTTTGTTTTTTTTTTTTTTTTNTGGATTGGGAGAGGAGGGGGAGGGGGACATTCTTCCACCCAGCTCTACCAGGGGGACCCTCTTGTTTGCCTATTCTCACCTCTTTCTACACTGCTACGATGGATGTGAGAAAGAGAACATGGGAACGCAAGAACGATCGCAGCTTCTTTATTAACGTGAATTATGAGAGTCCGTCGTGTCGCCTCCGTTCAGCACAGTCGAAGCGACATTTGCCCCCTCAGAGAGGCCTTGTGAGGTCAGTGGTACATCCGTGGATTCCGTACTTTCGCGGCTGTCAGTCTCACCTATTTTATTCCTCGTCGCAGCGTCATTCAGTTCCGTCAGGATGCGAGTTGGTGTGGGCGCCTCCGCCTCGTCATGGGACAGACTCCGGCCACTGCACCGCTGATAGTGCTCAATTAGCTGTGCGTTTTGCGTGGGCGGTGACCGCGCACGCGCGGCAGTGTCCTTATGCAGCAAACCTAGCTGCTCCCGCTCCGCCTTGAGCTGTTGAAACGTCATGGTAACACGCTCCCTGTTCATCACAGGAAGCGGGCCACCACCGCTCTCGCGCAGGCGGCCGCGCCCCAGCGGCGTGCTGCTGCGCTGCGCACCCACTGAATTCCGTCTGCGCGCACTGCGTTGCTCGCCTTGCGCGTCGCCCACATCGTGTGGTGCCGGAATGACGATCGGGTTCACGCTGTTCCTCGTACGCGAAGCACTGTTGCTGTGGCCGCAGTCCAGGAGTTTCCGGGCAGCTGTGGCGGATGGTCGGCGGGCCGGCGGACACGACTTCGGGCGTACAGTCGGATTCCCTCTCGCACCACTGCCAGAAGAGCCAACTGTCTCGTTGCGGCAGTTGCTGTCTCCCATTAGCCGCCCACGCGGCGTGTTACCACCTGTGGGTGCCAGCTGAAGCGCGGCTTGCTGTGTGTTGTGTCCTGGTTGTGGATTTGCATGGCGCTTTGTCTGTAGTTCTGCTGTGGCAAGTCGCGGAGCGATTGGCAGGGCGGTGGGGTGGTACCGATGTCTGGCGCCACGTGCCACTTCACGCCGCTCCTGCAATTCCTTGAGAAATCCCTTCGAGCGCTTGTGAAAGTGGGTCCCTGTTCCGACTGCTCCGGACCGTGCATTTGCAGCGTGACTGTGATCGCCCAACAATGAGTGGTGCGTCGGTCGCGACTTCCCAGGCGCACTCTCTCGGCGAGGAATAGATTCAGTTTCATGTTCACTGTGTACTCTGCCAGGTCTCAGCGGTGACGTAGTAGTATCAGAAACAGGCCGCCGAGTGAACCTTGAGGGATGCCGGTGGGGCGACGCCGTTGGGCCGTCTGAAACACGCATCACGCCCCTCCCCCGGCACTCCTCCTCAGTGAGGTCAATCCGCCGCTCAGAGCCTTCATTGCGAGGATTCTCTGCATGCGGCTGTGCGCTGCGTAGAGTGGCGTTACCATTCCTCTCCTGGACAGGCGTCTTCACCTCCACCCCTACGTGCGAGCTCCGCCCTCTGCTACTCCCCCTCGGTCTCTGGCCGGTGGGTTGCGTCCCCACCACGCCGTGAACGGCTGCTGGCGCCCGCCTGCAGCCGTTAGGTGTTGCGTACGCGTGCGTCACGTACTCCCCGGCCGTGAAGAATACCTGCGAGCAGGCGGCGCAGCGAAACTGATCCGCCTTGCACTCATTTTTCAGATGCTCACGCAGAGCAGCGGGTGGAAATAAGGCACCACAGCCCACACACGTGACATCACTGTGCCTTTTCTCGCAGCCGTACATCGCATGCGCGCTCAGCTTGGCTGCTTCCATCTCGGCGCCGCAATCTGGGCAGTTCACCAACTCCTTGCCGCAGCGTACAATGTGCGCAGCGGATCCGAGGCGACGGCAGTACGGGCACGTCCTGACGGATGCGGGTAAGAGTAACTTATTCGGCACAACGGCTTTTGTTTCCCCCACGGGCGCCGCCGAAGCTGCCCCGTTGGGCACAGTGACGGAAACCTCCTGCATCGGTTCGTCCTACAATGCTAACTGCACACGCAGCGTACCGGGGCAGAAGGCGGAAAGTGAAACGCAGGTGCCCACCCAGCACTGAATCCCTCACACGGTGTAGACACGAATAATCGATGAGTCATATACGCCGCACACATCTTTTAAAGCCATTTCGATCACAGTTTAACGACAAGCAGTGTTCAACGAAGCTAGCCAAAGGTTTTATTGTAATAAACATGAAGAACAGCCCGGACGGCTCTCAAGCACGCACAAAAAAATAAATAAACATGGCCCTCGACAGTATAAGAATGTAGCATCACACGAACCTACACAAAGAAAAATAATCTTGCAGCTCATGCCGACACTTATTGTGATTACCTGAGTAACTTCTTCCGCTAATCCTCATGCCGCTTGTGATATGCCCGTGTTCATCGGCAAGTGCACTCTTATCATGTCACTGCACTACCTACACCAGCAGTGCAGTAAAGTAGTCGTACCTGAAAGAAGGGTGTTGCATAATGGCATAAAGTATGCAGCACCGCATCGGTGATGTTATTCTCTGCTTCCGTCGAACATCCTCACTAGTGCAGCCCATCAACAACTGAAGGCAGCGTCACCTCCACCTCACTTCCGCCATATGTCCACAGCGAGGCTTGGTAACTAGCGCCGGGCTTCCGAAGCCACAGTGGCATTCGCGTTGAAAGAAAGCCCATGGTCTGAAAGCAGGATAGGTCAATCGACTGCAGCGTCAGGCACACATTTCACCTATGCGGGCCAACGTCAGCTCACAACAACACCGAAAAGAAAATACAAGCGGCCGCTCTGTGCATTGGGTCTTTTTGCCCATGTGCTTTCTACTCCTGTTTGAAACACTGACTGGATAGAGGCAAGGGAGGAAAAGGGGACGCAAGACAAAAAGAAGAAGAGTATTGTGCGCAATACTTCACCAACACCGGCAGAAGCATGACAGCGAAGTTCCTCCTTCACCAGAAGAGCGGGGACGAGGTCTGTTGACACAACACATAAAAACTGAGTGAGTGAGTGAGTGAGTGAGTGAGAAAAAAAAAAGAGTGTGTGTGTGGGCATGTCATTTCTGCATCCCACATCCACAATAGACGGTTAAGCTCCACGGCAACCTCGTGGTGCGCCGTTGGCAGCGATGAATGGCATCTGCTGCTGCGCCCACGTTAGTCATCTCGCGTCTAGGAGCAACCGCTTCCACTATATGTGCCCTCAACAAAATCAACCGCGTCTCACACAAGATGCATTCCAGTGTATAGCTGGCGCGGTGCATACCTTTACCAAAGAGCAGAGATGCCAACAGGGCAGTGTTTATCACTCGAGAGACAAAATAAGAGAGTAATCACGCGTTTTCATGGGCTTATGTTGTCTTCTTTCGCATAGAGATGATACACCGAGG